CGAAGTAAAGATGTTGCTTTGTGAAAGTTAAAGAACATAATACACTCATCAAAGAAATCAACAAAGGTAGATCAAACAAAGAGATAGAAGTTGGAGACATAACAGTTGCACCAATTGATGAGATTGAAAAACTAAAAAGGCAAAGAGTAGATGCTGAAACTTGCCCTGAAGCCTTAGAGGTAGCCAAGAATGAAGAGAAAGACAATTAGCTGAGAAATTAGAGCAATTAGAAACAGTTGAGATAAGTCAACAAGCCCAAGAAATTCAGCAACTAAAAACAAAAACTATATTTAGCCAGCAAAGCATTGACAAGGAAAAAGATAAACTACAACAGTTTACAAAAAAGACAAGCAAGAATATTCACCTAAAAAGAAACAAGAGCAAATAATTGAAGTAAAACCAAATATATTTTTAACATCGTTAACCTTTAAAAGATAACAAAAACATGCTCATCTATGTTAAGTTGGTAGTAAATTCCAATTTTCTTTCTAAATTTTTCATGGTTTTGTAGTAAAATTCTTTTACTGATTATGGTTTTTCTTTCTTGTTGGTAAATTTCATAGGTAAACCTTTCATTTCTTAGATAAGCTTCCAGTGTATGTGTATGAGCATAATTTATTTTGAAAACATAAGGAGAAATTTTCTCACCTTGTTCTTTTTTTAAAATGCTTCTGATAGTACTATAATTCTTGGGCTCCAGATCTGATGTAAATGAATTCATATTAATTATCTATATACACTTAAGAAAAAAGCAAAGATAACAGATGGACGGTTATAAAATTGTGTAATTCTTGGTAATATTTATTTATATGATCAAGTACTTTAAACAATTGATTGCTGCGTCCGACTTATAAAGTTTACAAACAAGATTTTAACAGAGGATGCACAGTGAGCCTTTTTCGCAGTAACAATTCATGTAAATATTTATGTAATACAAAAATGAATGTTTTTATTTGTTATGCAAATTAATATTTGAGAATTCTTCGATTTTTTTATTAGCCAAATTGGCATTTTGCCTTTGTCCGTGGTCATATGTTATGCATTATTATTATATTTTTATTATTATCATCATTTTTCTCATTATACACGAATTATTTCCATTTACATCTATCAATAAAGGCGAAGAACATTATTGAAGTTTTCCATCTTTTCAACTATTTATTTCTCAAGTGGGATTAGGCCTTAATCTTTAATATTAAATTTATTAATACACTGTATATGCATTTTATTATTATTATTATTCATGTACTAACAAACAACTCTTTAATTAAAAATAAATAAATTTTTTGCTCAGCAAATAATAATAATAATAAATGTTAGTGGGAATATTTATTATTATTGCCAATTTTCAATGGTTACATATGAAGTTCCATAGGTAAAGCTTTTAGGGGAAAAAAATGTTACATGCTTAAAAGGTAAAGTTTACTAATAGCTAGAATGTTTCAATCATGATGATCCGGGTCCTCTTCGCCGCCATTAAAAATACATTTTTTAGTGTTAGCATATAATAACAAAAAACGATACTAATGCCAATTAGAAATCGTTAAAAATAATAATAAAAATGCTTTTCTTAAAATGTAAAATAAACAAAAATTTTTATTATATACAAAACCAAACACATGTTTATCACGTGGAAAAAAGAAATAATGTGGAAAAATAAAAAATTCCTCCAAAAAATTAGGTTTTGAAAAACGAGAGATTTTCACTAGTTGCACATATCTGCTACTCCTACGAGCTCTGGCAAAAAAAGTAAATTATTCCGCTTCCTATTTCCTTTTCTTTCTAGGTTCTTCGTAACTTTGTGTTGATATTCTTTTAATGTTAATGGTTATAATTTTTCATTTTTCCTGGTAAATTTCATTTTCTCTTTCATTGGATAATTTTCAAGCATCCGAGTATCACTTAATTTGAAAATATAGGAATTAGATTTCTCGCCTTGTTCCTTTTTCAAAATGTCTCTAATAATGCTATAACTATTTGGTTTCATAGTAGATCTGATGTAAATTAGTTTCATATTAATTAAGTTTATAATACAAGAATAGCTCTATATACCACTTTAAAAAAAACAAAGATAACAAATGGGGCATTATAAAATTGTTAATAATGATGATGTTGAAATCCTTTGTAGTATAATGTTCACCGTGTTTGGTTTTGTTGTCTTCAAGTATAAGATTAGTTTCACGTGATCCACTAAATGGACTTGTCATTAGGCTTCTATTCGAATAAATTTTTTATACTAATACTAATACTAATACTAATACTAATACTAATAAATTTTTAAAGGTCGATCACTCGATAAGTCGGCCAAAATTTTCACCCCATTCATATGAGCTCACCGGCTTATCGAGTTTACTTGTATTACGAATAGTCATTTGTGAGAATTTTCGAGAAAAAAAGTAGTGATTTATTTAATGATGTTTCATATTCTCTGACATCATTATTATATACTAAATATTTATATATAGAAAAACTTTCTCACCAAAAAAATAAGTATTAACAAAAAAAGGATTTAATTTTTTCAAAAAAATGCCTTCAACTACTCAAGCTTGTCATGTTCTTGCTGATTTTAGCATTATTCCTATGGGAACAGAAGTCAATACTACTAAGGTAAATATTTGTTAGTAATATGAAATAATATAATTATTATTATTTCGAATAATAACAACAATATTCGTTATCAAGTACATGGCCGAAATTCAGAAAATATTGAAAAAAACCAAGTAAGAAATAATAATAATAAATAAAATCATTATTATCTATAGAATTTATTAAATAATTTTAACGTTAACCTTTTGATTTCGTTTAGTTTGAACTATAGTATGCATTGTAGTGGAACAAATATCGGTACATATACATACATACATTATTTTTATACAATTATATAATAATAATATTTATTTAAAATTAGAGGGAAGATGGGAGCAAGTTATGAATGCAATTAGAGATTGTATCGACAAAATTCACGAACTTGGTGTACCAAGAATTGATTGTAACATTAGAATTAATGTAAAAGGCTTTTTTACTTCTTACATGCAATTAATTAATAATTTTACTATTATAACAACTATTATTATTATTAATCAAATTACATAGACTCGTACCGACAAAGCAATGACTATGGCAGATAGGTAAAAATTAAATTTTAACAAGGTATTAATTAGTTGATGGTTTTTATACACAACGTTTATTAAAAAATGTTTTGAATTATAGTCTTCGTGTTGTTAATGATATGGTCGAAAAACAACAACAATGATGAACGAACAAATTGAACGAATGGATGGATGATGTTGCTTTTTTTTTTCTTTTTTTCTTTTAAGATAAAATATTAATTCTAACTCATTAATGAATATATATATATCTTGAAAAAAACTTGCTTGAAAAACATTAAATAAAAATAAAATTTTTATTGCTCTACTTTGATCAAAACTTTTTTATATTATAATGATTAATGATTTTTACCATGTGGAAACTTATTGATTTATATTTTAATTAACAAAAGAACCGGCAGGTTTTCTCTTCCTAAAAACAAATATAACGTTGCATAATCTGGAGGCGCCGAGTTATCTATTTAATGATTATCCTTTATCTAATCAGTAGTTTTCAGCCTGAGAGTTTTTATTCACTACTTTATTTACCGCTGTATAATAATGGACCAATTCAAAAGTTCAACGTTCACGTTGTTTTGATTTGCAATTGATAAATTGAAATATACGAAAAAAGTTTTGCTTGTAAAAAAATCTTTATTATTATTATTATTATTATTATTATTTATTTTATTTACATTATTTACATAATATATAACAAATAATAATATTAATACGTGTAAATATATTATTAAATCTTAGAAAATTTGTTTTTTGCATAATATTTTTCGTAAAATAATAATATAAATTGTCCAGAAAAAAAAAAAAGTAAATAATATATATGTATATATGTATATATGTATATGTACGCACTCATAGATTTATAAAAATAAGTATATATGTGTGTTTATGTGTGTGTAGTGTAATATTGTAATATATCTTTTATATTTAAAGAAAAAAGAAAAAAAGAAAAAAAAATGTCTCTTTTGTATAAAATATAAAAAAATTTTTTTCACAAGCAAATGTTATTTTTTTTTCGATTTAGTAATTTAATAGTGTAAATTGTCAACATTTTTCACACTCTACAAACCAATTATTTGCATTAACACATTCTGTGGCTGTAGTTGTCGTGTTTTTGTTATTAGGATTAATAGTGGTAGCATTGTTGTTACCATTGTTATTAGATGAATCATTTTTCTTTCCACCGTACCATTCCAACATACTAATAATATCTGATAACATTCCATGATCTAATAAATCTTTTGGTGGAGAATAGAACAGCATGTCAAGATCATCTTGGGATCGGTTAGTGTTATTTGTAGTATTAGTTGACTGATCGAAGAAATATGGTTGATTATCGGATTGTAATAAATCTAGAATCGCATGGCCTAATTTATATTTATGGAATATTTTTGGTATACTAAATGATCGAATTTTAAAATTGCCACTACTATTATTACTATCATTATTGCTACTAGTTTTATTATTATTATTATTATTATTATTATTATTACTATTGTTGTTACTTTCTACATTATTTTTACTATTACTAACATTATCTGATGATGATTTTTGATCGAAAAATGGACGATAATGATCAATAGAAGGTGGTAGAGATGCTGATTTTGGTCGTATTATACTATTATCTTTCCAATATGGATGAAATTCTTGATCAGAAATATTATTGTTATTACTAATGATATTATTATTGCTAATTTTACTGTTAATATTATTATTAATCTTGGATTCTTCTAAAAATAGATCATTAGGTATTATTATTTCATCTTTATAGTTAATTATTGGTTCTTTTTCTTCTTTTTCTCCTGCCACTACAACACCTCCAACTTCACCGATTATTTGTTGATCGCCATCATTAGGTTTAATTACATAAACATAACCATCATCGTATTCGTCTAAACTAGCATTATCTAAACAAGCATCCAACCAAGTTTCTTCTTCTTTCTTTATATCGTCTTCTGACCATTCAAGTTTTTCATTAAAATATTCAACAAAATTATTATTATTATTATATTCTTCTTGTTGCTGTTGTTGATAATTATTGATTGGTGGCGGAATTAAGAATTGATTTGTGTAAAAATTACGAAGCAACACGAACTTCCTTAAACTTTTCTCTCGTTCATGATAGTTGTTAAATTTTTGTAAAGTTGTTTCGTATATATAAGACATTTCATCGCATTGATGTATTGTTGAGGACATTTTTGTGTTTATTGATGATATTATATTTGTTGTTGTTGATGATTTAAATGTTGAATATATTGTTGATAGTATTGGTGTCATTTTAAATAACAATAGAAAGGCGTTTGTATTTGATGTTTTTAAATTATTAAAATTGTTTTTTAAATTTTTTTTTAAAAAAAAAAAAAGGAAAGAAATCTTATTTATATTTTTTTTTTTTTGAAAGTAAACCGGCACAGTTAAAAAATAAAAATAAAGGAAATTCTCTTTTGCTTTTTTCCGTAGTTAAATATTTCTTTCAGTATATTTATTTTTGTTACACCTTGTTATCGTTCGGAAAATTGATCAAAGTCCGTGAATATATATATTTTTTTATGTTGTTGGTGTTCAGTTAATTTAGTTTAGTTGTAGTAATTGTAGGCGTGTGGTAATAATGTAATAATCCGCTGTTGTTAATTGAATGCTATATAATTAAGTTGCTGCGTATACGTTGAATTGGTAATAATATATAGTGAGTGATAAATAATGACTAATCTGGACTAATTCTGTAGTTTAGAGTAACGGAGGTCCGTGTAACAGAATAATAAAAGTAAGATAGATAGGGAATAAGGAATTTGTGTGGTGCAGTGGTATTGTGAAAAATATTATGAAAAATATAATGAGAAAGGTTGTGTGTGTTATGTGCGTACAAACAAATGTATGAATTGGTGTTTATTATTATTATTATTATTATTTATTATTGTTTTTTTTGTGGTGTGTGAAAATAAATTTTAAAAAATTTACTACGAAATTAAAAAAGTGGGTTCTCTTCCTTTAGAAAAAATGGTTTTTAAAAGTCTTTTTTTTTACTGATGTATTCTAATTGTCTTTTTCTACAAGACAATCTTATGTTATTATTTAATTAATTAATTTAAATCTTTAGCGATTTTCGACGCTTCATGGTTTTAAACTATATATTTATGCGTGCATTTTAACAAATTAAAGAGAGAAAGAGAAAGGTAGGATGAAAGGAGGAAAAGGAGGTGTTTATATATATATGTTTATTACATACATAATTATAATTTAATTAGTAAAAATCAGAATAATTTGAAACAATAAATATTGATGTATCATTGTATATTATATAATAATATAATATATTTATTATAAAAAAGTTTACCTTGAAAAATCCACGTTTTTGTTGTTAATTTAATAATTATGATTAATAATAACTATTAATAAACAAACTTTTGTAAACCTTGAAAAAGAGAAAGAAAAGGTCTTGCAGTCCTTTTAATACAAAAAAATTTAGATAAACATCGTTCGATTTTTTATGATAAATCTTTTTTGGGATAAATAAAAAAATAAAAACAAAAAATTATTTAATTAATTAATTATATTTTAAAGTTTTGAATTGTAAAGTAAGATAAAATAGGAAAAAGCAAAAAAAAAATTAGAAAAATATTATTAATTAGCAAGGAAAAAAAATTAAAGATTCTTGATTTTTTTTTTGGAGAAGAAAAATTAATTATAAAAAAAATGAAAAAGGTGGTGTTTTTAAATAATCTTTAAAAATATATTTATTTGTATATTATTTTGCAATAGTTAACTATCATTATGCAATATGGATATAATAATAATTAGTTAGTTGTTGGTCAGTTGAGACGGTTTAAAATGACCCAAATAAATAAAGCCAGTCACATTTTTTAAGATTTTTGTTATTACTTTCTATTTTTATTAAAATGAATTATACAAATTATATTGATACATACATACATACACACAATTAAGATTTACAATATATTAAATCATAATAATTTATAATTTATTTTTACTTTTATTTTAATTAATTATATAAATTTTAGAGATGATAACATAAACTATCAATTATGACTTTTCGTTAATTGTTTGTTAGTAAGATATAGAAGAGAGATTGGGAGATTGGAAGATTGAGAGATTGAGAGATCGAGGAAGAGAGAGAAGAAGAAACAAAAAGGTATCTGCAATATAATCTGTCGTCTTTAAGTTGGAGAATAATAAATAAAGAAATTTATATTATAATCCAGGAAGTAAAATGAATGAGTCAGATGGTGTCGTTATTTGTCATATATATTTTTTTTATTTATTTATTTATTTATTTATTTATTTATTTATTTATTTATTTATAATTTATATTAATATTTTATAGACTTTAACAAACTAAAAAATCTGTCAATCATTCATCATATATATTGTCAGTCAAAATTAAAAATAAAAATTCATTTATTCGTAATTTATTACGTCACTTCCAAATCTACTAAATCTTTAACTCTTTATTTCTCCTATCAACGTCAATTATCCCTAATACTCGTATCTCAATCACTTGTATTTTTATTCATCCTTTCATTTCTCTCATTTAATTCATTCATCCATCCATTCATCCATCCATTCAACAATTAACAATACCTTTTTTCAATGTTAATTATGCTTTTTTGATGGATGTTTATAATTGATCACATGATCGACTTATGACGATGGTTAAAGTTTAATATTAAGATTATGTGTGTGATACATAATTAAACAAAAAGACCACATGATTATACAATTATTTTTATTATTATTATACAAAAAAAGAAATAAAAATACATTGATAAATTTTATAATAAAAATACATTATAATAATACAATAAATTTTATAATTACAATAAATAATAAATCATTTTCATTAATCAATCATATTCTAACCAGTACCAATTAACCACGGGTCCATCTATTACATCAATGATACTAATGGTTATTATAATGTATCACCCTTGATACCATTGACAACAGAGATCACACCATCAGAAATTACACCATCAATGTCATCATCATCAACATATTCTCCGTCACTAATTTCATATCCTATTCCTCCTTCTTCTCCGTTTTTATTATTAACGTCATCCGTGAATCTAATTGCGAATGTTAAAAAAAAGCCAACATAAAACATACCACCAATAAAATACCATATAAAATATGGAGAAGATCCGGTGACAAATATACTATACAACGTATTAAAACATATTGGTGATGCAATTGCAGCTACAGATTCAATAGTTGCTAATGCTCCTAATAATTCTCCAACTTTGGAAGAAGGAACTAAATTTGTTTGAAATGATTTCAAAGTTGGAAATGCTGTTGATCCTAATGATGCAGTCACTGCCACTAAAAATAATAATGATGAATATGAGATTATGAATGCAAGTCAATGGATGGTTATTAATATAACACACACATATAAAATTATTATCAAGATTTACCTCCTATTAATGCAACGCCACTACTTATTATTCCATATAAAGTCATACAAACAGCTTCAATAAATAATCCAATTCTAATTACCCAAATTTCTAATTTCAACAATTCTCCTTTTAATCGTAATTTACTTTCTTCGCTCTCTTCTTCCAATCTATCGTTATTATTACTACTATTTCTAGTCTTATTATTTTTATTTATTTTTGCCTTTTTGAGATAATTCAATAACATGGGAAATAGGAGCATCAATATAACAACTCTTGCTCCGCCGATAACAAATAAAAGATAACCTTGTTCAACCACTGATAGTTTAAACACTAACGATATATATAATAAGAACACTGCTTGTATTCCATAAATTGCAAAGGATGCAAAAAAAGTTATTATTGCTGAAATTAATAATGCATATCTTCCTAACACTTTACTTTCTTCATTATTTCTATTGTTTTTTGATGCTGGTAAAAATATGGAAAGCTGTTTTATAATATTTAAAAAATCCATAACCTTTTTTAAAGCCATCAATGATCTCTTTGTAATATTATGATTATCATTACTATTCTTATTATTATTTTCATCATTCATTTGTTTGATTCGACTTTCCATTTGTTTATCAATCGATAAAGACTCCGGTAGAAGCAATAGAGTAAATAAGAAAAGTAGTGTGTAAGTTGCTAGACAAACGTAAAATACTGACATAATATTACCAGTAGCTTGACTTATCCACCCTGCAATCATTGGTCCTATTGAAAATCCACAATACAATGACCCCATCAACCATCCAAACACTATATTTCTAAAATAAATGGGGATTTTTTAATTATTATTAGCCCTAGATAATTCAAACCTTTTTTAAAAAACTCCAATATTCACCTTTTACCAGGTTCAGTACAATCAGTTACATAGGCATGGCTAACAGCTACCAAAGATGTGTAACTTCCTGTCAATCCATCCAAAAATGATCCAAACAACAACAATTTAGTCCCAAAAGGGTTACCATATAAATACTTGTCCACTAATATTATACATGATGAAATGCATATTCCCCCAATTGTTGGCAATAATAATACTATACGTCTACCTCTACGATCTGATAATGATCCTAATGATCCTAAAACGACTATTGCTATTCTCATGTAAAAAAAGATAGATGGTAAGCATTTAAAGTAATTAGGAGTTATATGTGCATGCATATATATTCAAGTTCTTTTTTTTACCTGGTATGGAGTGAAATAAACTTAATTTTAGTAAAAGTTGAGAAGTTAGTGCAGATATTTCACTTGTATTACAACTTTCATCATCATAATCAACATTATGGACACCACCACCCGCTGAATAGTATTCTCTACAAATAACTTTTAAATAAAAATTTATTTTTGTTGTAACTGCGAGTCCAAAAGTTACTGATAATAAAAAAAAGGATGGTAATATCCAATGATATGATGGTCTTTTATACCATTTTGTAGTTGTAGTAGTAGTTGGTGAATATTTTGGATTTGTTTTATCTAGATTGCTTGATAAAAGTGGGCGAGTCTCCCCATTGTTATCATTTCCACCGGAAATAATCGATAAATTATTACTACTATTATGTTTATGCAGCATTGTTTTATACGTGTTTGTAAATCGATTAATATTAAATAGATATTAATATTGAAAATATATAAATATTTCCTGGCATTTATAAGTTAATTTTTTTATTTATTAATAAACACAAACTATTTGTTTATCCGTCTTCCCATTGAATAAATGATGATCGATTATTTTTTAATTTTTTTTTAAATCAAATTGACCGCTTGGAAGAATTATTTTTTTTAAAAATATCTCAACGAGACCAATCATTCAATCGATTCATGGTGGTGATGGGTAGTTTCCCGAAGCCATTAAATAGATTTATCCGTCGAGATTGATTTATAATACTTAACATTAATGTTTAATGGTAGATTTGATATTAACAAAAAATTTTATATTAAATTTCGGTTAATTATAACTGATATGGTGAAAACCAAATTGGTAATTCTTTACAAACCTGTCGATAATTATCAAATTTGGTTAGAAATCATATTCCACATTGAATTTTATTTTATTCGTAAAGCACCAGTAAAAGTCTTCTTTATCTTTTTTAAAAAAAAAGGGTCTAAAAAAGGAAACTAGCTTGCCGCTTTTGACAAAATATTCGGGGTATTTGCTTTTACTATTACAAAATTAGATTTGTGTGTTATAACTTACCAAATATATTAATTATTGATCTTCGCCGTATTTTTAATATTATTATTAATTAATATTAAGATTATTAATATTAAGATTATTAACATTAAGATTATTAACAACTCGGTTGATTTTTAACACGTTTTTTGCATGCATATTATTAATACATTAATGTGTTAGATGAATTAGGATAATTTAAAAGCCGAGACCTTATTAGATGATAAAATCAAAATCATCAGTGATGTAATTGATGCGTGTACCTTACGAGTGTTTTTTTTTAGAAAATTAAATGCATTAAGTTTTTTTTTTTATTAAATGCAGTTTTTTTTCAACCTCTATATTAAAATTTATTCATTTTTATCCATATTTTTTTTTAATAATAATGGACGACCTTTAACATATACATAAAATTGTACAACTCAACAGAAAATAGATAACATTCATGCACACACATATCATTTGACACATTATTATTAGTTATTATTATTTCATTATGGTCCGAGAGTATATTGTATACTGTATATTAACATTAATATTAATATATACTAATACTTTATATATTTTATATAGTTGGTTTAAATAGTTTGGCTTTTTCGAAAATTACGATACGCCATCATAAAAAAACTTGAATTCAATCAAGAAATTGTTAAAATCTAGACTGGATGAATTAACCGATTAATGGAACCCGATGATATAGTAATAGTAATAGTAATAGTAAAAATTCAAATTTCTCGAAATATAATATATAGCAATAGAAATTTTTTTTTTTCCAAAGTTAACGTGAGAAATTTCTTAAGACTGGTGAATAATTCAAACTATAATCCGGAAAGCTTTTTTTATTAATATCAATATTGATATTAATGGAGAAGAAATTGCGGCAAAGTTGAATGAACTGCCATCCATGATTAAAAAGGTTGTGCCACACTCTTTCCGTTTATGTATGTTTGTGTTCTTATCTATTGTTATTATTATTTGAACAAAGAAAACTGTAATTTAACAATTGCAGCAGAAATTTTGTTGGATGAAGAACAATAATAAGTATATGAAAAAAGAAGAATAATAGAAAAATAAGGAACAAAACAATTCAAATAATTAATTGATCTGATCTATTATGATGTATTCATACAGCTGACTAGTTTTGACACATGAGATATTTTACTAACTCGAAAATTAACTAGTTGCATGACTAGCTGTCTGCTGACACTTATTTAATTATTGATAACAACTTTTTAATTATTCGATATCCCCCATCTTATTTATTACATATTTAGTGAGAAAAAAAAAATATTATCATTTCTTCAGTAAGTTCAGACCATGGGAAATATTTAGACAGTAAAAAGTGGTAATTATTTCAATCCCTAGCTAAAGCTCAACAAACAAATAATAACAATAAGGATCACACGAGCAAAAAAGCAATTAATCTATGATCATTAAATGTAAAACAATTAGCAGACAACAATTAGAACAATTATTAACCAACGGCAAAACAGAAAAATCCATAATTAAGGTTGCTTGCTTAAAACTTCGAAGGATAATTGTAGCTTCATTGAAAGACTTATTATAAAAAAGACAAAACAAACATTAGAGGAAACGCAATCGCTTTCTCCTGGTCTTTCCTGGTCTTTTTTAATTAGATCAACCAATATGGGATTATTGCTTTCACTTACATTAAGATTAGTTATTTGATTATTATAATCACAATACAAAACAAAAAAAGAAGTTTTGCATTTTGCTAACATCTGATCTAGTTAATTAGTTTAATGACTAGTAATTCTGATAAAATCTAAATCAGTAAGATTACTGCTATCTGCATATAATTCAGCGAGATTAATGTTATTGCTTAGATCAAGGAACGCGAGTTCCCTGTAGGAAGTTTTAATTTTGGGTTCCTGCTTGCATCTAAATTAATGAATAGGTTTATTCCTTCGGCAATATAAATTCTTCAAGATTTTTACTTGTTCAACATGATTACTAGAGATATAAAGAGTCGACAGTTACTAATGTCTAACTAAAGTGGTTAAAAAAAAAAAGGTCATACATTTACAGATTGAGAAAATCACGTAAATATAAGTTACATTCAAGAAATCTTTTCATTTTATGTTGAAAGAATATTTTGGGCTTGGTGTACATATTAATTAACTTTTGCTCTTTGCTCTTTTGGACAATGATGGTCCAAACATTTTGTGCATTAATCATCATTTAGTATTTAATAAATAACATTCTTTTTATTTTGCTCAATTAACAAACTTTAAAAAATATAGATTGGAGTAGGATGCTAGTAAAGAGTTTCACCAAGTGTTGAAATGGTGAAACAGTTTTACCAGCATAGGGAAGCTAATTTATATCAAATCCTAAAAATTATGCTACTGCAGTCCATAATATATTGACAAAAGATTAAGGTGAAAAATTGCACTTTATTTTTTTAAAATAAATGATACTAAAAACCATTGAATATTTAAATAAAGAAAGAATCGCCTATGAAATTTACCAAGAAGAGTAAAAAAGCGTAACCAGTAAAAAAAATAAGATTCACAACCCATCTTAGGGAAATAATATTATAAAGATATTCTTGTTGCTTGAGACAAAAAAAAACGTGTATATAATAATAATATTTTTGTGATGATAAATGTGTAGTTCTTATTATTAGTAGTTCATAAACAAAATAAAAATTCCCACACCTTCCATTTTAGGTAATTTCGCTATCACATTAGTATATAATCATTGCTGGGCATGGTGATCTCCGAGTTTATCGTAAATTCGTTTGTTTATTTATAATCTCAGCCAAAATAAATAATGAATCGGTCCTATCCAATTTGTTTAATCAAGTTTGTTTGTGTAACAGATAAAAATCTTTATTATAAGAACCATTTATTTCTATTTCAAGTAATCGTAAGTTTTTTGGTGATCGACGTCTGAAATTTGTATTAGCCACGAACCTTAATTTTTGTTCAGCAATCTTTTACACATGGATTTAGTATTCATAAAGAAAAAATCTTTATCAACAAATTACCACATTTGGAAATTGATTTATCACTTGATAGATCTCCTTGCCCATATTTTTTCCCTATCAAATTTTATTCCCCATTATAGTTGTTCGCCATAATTGTCCTTCTTAATAAATGATCATTGCTGTATCTGTTATGTCATAATTAGTTTTCATAGTTGCCATAGTTAACTTTAATAGTTATCTCTGTAATTATTTGAACCCTTTAAGTCAAATGACATATTAATATGTAGTTCATTTATATGAAGAATCTTGAGGAATCCGTAATATTTTAATCTCATCAAGTTTATAATGGTAATATTGGAGGCAAATCTTAGTTTAAAAGTGATACATAAGGCTCCTGATGAATCAATGAAATTTGAACCGAATTGAATAGAATCGAATCGCCTGATTTTTGATTCGTTTCATTTGAATCGAATATAAATTGTGCTTTGATTCGACCTGATTCAAATCTAATTCAAAATATACTATTACAATATATTGTGATAAAAAAAAAAATAAACGGATTTATAGAAGTGTCGTCCAATCGTGCATCGGACATAAGACATAGCCTCTTTCGTTTTGGTATTTTTATATTTGAAAGTATTTTACATTTAATATTATTTTTATTATTAAAATAAAGTAATTTTTTGTTTAATAAAATACTTTTGTGGTCGGAAATTAAACAGTAGGGTTTAATTGTTCGTTCGATTATCAGAGTGGTATAGAGCTTGGAGGTTTGGTTATTTGCTTTGGTATAAATCAAAGCTTTGTAAACGGGTTTAAGCGTTTAAGTGTAAACGTAAGATGTTAAGACTGATTGGCAAAAATGTCAAGTATTTAACAGTTACTGACAAAAGTCGATATCACATATTGTATTCTGTTAATGTAATTGTTGCAAACATACGGCTGACTTCAATTGGCCAAAGAAAAGTAAAAGTAAAGTAATTAAAATAAGAACTCTATAGGAGTCTTTATTGCTTCTTTATTTATTTTAATTCGTTGTTATTTGTATTATGAAGCTTTCTTAGGTACAAAAAAGAGGCTGTAAGCAGGATAGTTATTAAATAAGTTCGTAAAATAAATTAATTGACAAGCATTGAATATAAAAGCTTGCAATTAATGGACGAGTGTAGCCAAAAGTTAACTCGAATTTGGTCGTAAACGTAAAACAATCAAGGTTGATCAAAAAGCTACCTCTCAATATAATAAAAAAAAATTTAGGGATTCAGTTTGATTCGAATCGAGTCATAGAACAAATGAATCGTTTTAAAATTCGACTCGATTCGATTCGTACAAATGCATTTCATAATCATCATGAGTAATACAAAAAAGACAAGAAATGCTTTATTTATTTTGATTCAACAATAGTTGGCTCTGAAAATACAAATGGAAAACCATAATAGTAAATAAA